TATATATATATATATAACACACACATATATATGCATAACCCACACGCACACACACATATATATAACGCACACGCACACACATATATGTATAACGCGCGTACACACACATATGTATATAACACATGCACACACACATATATATATATATAACACACACATATATAACACACGCGCACACACATATAAATATAACACACGCGCGCACACACACACATATATATATATATAACACACGCAAACACAATTATATATATAACACACGCGCACACACACATATATATAACACATACGTACACACACATATAACACACACACAGATATAAATATATATATAAAACACACGCACATACGCATATCACATATATATTAACGAGCCGACAGACTTCATATATTTACCATTGACATTTTTAGTTCCACATTCACGACGTTTCGGTCGTTGTACGCTCCGGCCATCTTTAAGTAATATACGTTGGAATTTCGAACTGAACCCTTTATTTAGTTCATAAGGGGTAGATTGTTCTAGTTCCACGTGCCATGCCTATTCTAGATATCTCAGTTTCAGTTATTTCCCTTTTAGTAACTCAACTCTCCAAGTTTTTCTTCACCTCTGCCGTGGCCAGGGATTGAATCCACAACCCTTTGGGTCAAGTCGCTGGATTACTTTAACCAACGCGTTTATCCACTGGGACATGTGTCCTTGGAGATATGTGTCCTTGGGGGACATGTGTCCTTGGAGATATGTGTCCTTGGGGCCATATGTCCTTGGAGATATGTGTCCTTGCGGTTATAATTTCAATTTCGTCTTGTTTATAATTAGTGTTCGACATCTGCTTACAATAAAACAATTTAATGGAGTCTTTATTTTAGTTTGTATCAAGTTGGTTGTTTATATTATTTTTTCTAAATTTCTTTAAAGATAATCTTATTTCCTCATAACAAAAGTATTTAGGAAATTATTCTTGATAAGTGTTTGTTTTATGTTGTTTAATTCCTTAGAAAAACATTGTGTCCGTAAAGGAAATCATTTTAGCACGATAAAACACGTTTTTTTGTAACGCCTATTTTATACATGTGCAGACATTCGCTTTTATAATTAAGTAGTCATGAATATTTACTAGTGTTTATATATATATATATATATATTGAATTAATACAATCGTCATTATTATCATCTAAAATATCTAGGAAATGAATTCTATTTTTAATGTTGAGTTCATAAGCGAATTGTAAAACTGAGTTACTTTCAAATTTTTCTTTAAGGGTTTTTAATTCATCTCTGTTTTCTGTTAAAATGGAAATATCGTCAATATGTCTGGCATATACTGAGGGTTTGTTGAAACTATTATAGATCTTGTTTTCTACATCATTCCTATCGAAATTAGATAAAATAGGACCCAGAGGCGAACCCATCGCTACACCAGCAGTCTGTGTGTAAATGGTGACGGTAAAATGTCATTTGTGTGGTGCAAGACAGTAAAAGTTTACGTGAAATATTTGGTCTAATATTAAGAGAAATGGGAGCTGAGGGTGATTTGATAAGATTTGCATAAAGCTTTCTATGGTTTATTTAACAGGAAAATTAATAAGCAGACATTCAACATCTAACAAGACTAGGATGACATTGTTAGGTTTATTAGAATGTAATATGTCAAAAGAAGGTACAGTGGATAGCGGCTCGGATTGAGAAATCGGAGAGCCGAGTTCAAATTCCAGTCGAATCCATTATATTCACTTACGTGCTAATACCCTTATGAATCATCGTCTTCCCCCCCAGCTATGGGTAAATAGTACGGAAGACCGAGTTCTATAGGCTTGGATGGGATCTGGTCTACCGCAAGAAATGGCAAATTACTGCGGGAAAACATCTGCCTCAGTCATGTATTGAAAGATACATGATCGCCTAAGCATGTATCACGTATGACACATAACTGACTGTATATGTCAAGGAATTCGTTGCTCGAATTGACATTATATTTATTAAACAAGTATAATTAGATCAGTTTGTTTAGAGTTTTAGATACGGGAGTAGGTATTTGAGAGATTATCGGACGGAATGACGAAATTGGTTTATGGATTTTAACATTTCCGTATAAATAGGCGGGATTATACTCACCTACAATTTTCATTGATCTGCTGAACATTCCTTATACACACACATAATCTTTTTTTACACAGCAAAATCTTTATCATTATAAGAAACTCTCATAAACATTCTTCCAGTGAACTTTGAAATACAAAAATAATTGTTCAAGAGAGACAACTCTTGTTTTATTCAACCTAATCTTACTTAAATGCATGCTTTCTTTCACATCGTTGTTTGATGTCGTACATCTTGTTAAATACATATTTTATGTGTAACAATATCTTTTGCTTATCATTTTCCACGTCAGTCTTGTTTCCTAATCTAAAGTTAAATTAATGCGGTGAAGTCCGCCACAGATCGTATTTCAGCCTTCTTAATTGTAATTAGTTTGTTTATTTCTGTCTTAAAAAGGTTAGTACTAGTAGTATTTTTATTTGGTTTCCAAAAATGTGTCTGTATTATTGAGGATGGAATTTTACTGTTCTACTTCAATTTAATAATATTTTATTTGTGATCTAATTCTATTCGTTAAAAAAAAACATTTCAATATATTTCCAAAGTAACAGTACTGCGATCGACAAAATCTGTAAAAAAAGTGTATCACATAGCCTTGATATTTCTCTGACTCCTGATGGGTCAATTAATGCCAGTATCATGCTTTCGTCTACGTCTGCACGGTTAAAATTAATTTATCGCTAAAAATCTGTCTATGTGTTTCGAGCCTATTACGTGACATACAACATTATAAATATTTAGTGACATCTTCAACTCTCTCTCTTTCGTCTGTTTTCTCAGAAGCAAAACAATGTAGTTCAGTGAAGAGCTGACGTCTGTCCCTGTTGGGAAATCGCAATGACACACACACACACACACACACACACACACACACACACACACACACACACACACACACACACACACACACACATCATACGTACGTACGCACATCTACGACATCTATTCATTCCTTCAACTACAAGGACACTTATCAACTTCTAACAGTGAGCTTTGCGGCATCAAACAATTCGCTAAACAAATTCACGCCGTTCAAATCTTTGAAGAAGTTTCCAAGTTAGATTTCCTAACATAATCCGAAACTTCGAATTCACTCACTCACTCACTCACTCACTCACTCACTCACTCACTCACCAACAAACTACACTTCAATTTTAACATCTACGATTTTTATCGAGACAACAAAAATTCTACTCAAAGAACATACAGTTTGCCAAACAAACATTTTATTCAAAAAACAACTTTGAACATTTCTTTAATTTAGACTGAACTTTATTTCATGAACTGAAATTTTTTCTGTGAGTTCAAATAAAAATATTTTCTCTTAAATCTCTTTAAGAATTTCAACTTAAAGGTAAATAACTCCTGCTATTAATTACAACTCTTACTATATAAAAATCACACACTTGATTGTTTTGTATGTCATACAGTAAAATGAAGATTGTTTGTTATAATAAAAACAGCTTTTTGTGTTGTTTTTCTTGTTTACTTTTTGTTTGCTGACACATTTGTGAAGTAAAAAAATGTAAGGATTGAATTGAGGCCATTGGAACCGCTATAGAATCAAGTTTTTTTTTTGTTACAGTCGTCAGTCCTATTTAAAATAACAAAAATATTAAACTTATCTCTATTCGTAATTATAATAATTTCGTTTTTTTTAAGTTCTTTATATGCTGTTTTGAATTCTTTGTTTAAAAGTTGGTTTCTTCATATTTGCTTATTCCGAGTTTTTACGCTTCCTGTTTTAAGCAATGTTTTTTTTTAATCCAGATTGAGTTGTAATGTGTTTGTCGCAATTCTCAGATTTGTTTGTACGATTTTCAAGCGATGTTTTTTTTTTTTTTTTTTTTAATTATTATCAAAAGTGAAGTAAAGATGGCAGTTTACCAATCTTTGTGAGATATACAAAATACTGAATGATTACTATAAAATAGAAGTGAACAATTTCTTCGCCTTCTCAGACTGGATGATACGTTGTCACACAAAAACTGTTGCAAGATGCTTCTTCTTTTGACAAACAACTGGGATGGGAACGCACCAAGGTTGGCCATTTCTAAGAGGAAACTGAAGGTCCTGCCCCAATAAAATCTAGAGGAATGTCAACAAAGTTCAAAGATCAAGTTCTATCCAATCTAAACAACTTTCGACTAGACGCAGGTTAAATATGCAGATGAGACTGAACTACAGGCAAAATATTCAGGGCGATGATGACACTGCATCGCTGGGTGGAGGGCATTCTATACTGATCCCAACGACCATGTGTCTGTGACCAAGGCAAACCTTCAAGTCGGAGGACATCGTCTATAGCCTGACTTGGAGAGGGATGGAATCCACTAGGCCAACTTTATCCATGACACGCTATGCATGAATGAATACCCACCAAGATATGTGGGGGAAGTTGGTCAGCTGCTCAGCTGCGCACTGACCCTACGACCACACTCGGTCATGGGGCTGCTGCTGCTGCTGCTGCTGCTGCTGATGATGATGATGATGAAACAAAGCTACCACCATCAAAAATAAATATATAAAAAAAGGAAATTTTTAACGTTTGTGCCGACAATTTTTTTTCTCAAAAGGACGGTTATTCCCTTGACACCGCTATTACTGTATAAACTTTTGACTCACTCAGCAATGTTTAATTACAAGATTATAAAAATATGTGAACCAAGTATAATATGATATATTAATTATTTTATTTACATTTATAAAGTTTTATTATTTGCCATTTTTTAAAAAAAATAAATTTGAAAAAAAATCTTTTTATTAATTTTTTTTAAAACAATGAACATTTCCGAGTTATTGAAGAAAATAAAAAATAATAGCGGTGTTAAATGAAAAACCGCCCTTTTGAGTTTTGACACACCGTTTTTTATGGGCAAGAGAACTTAAAAAAAATACTAACCTCTTCTTCCTTGATAGCAATGGCTTCAGCAAGTTCAGCTTCAAGTTTCTGAATTTGTTGCGTATTTTGTTGTGTTTTCTGGATCATTTCCTTCAGATACTCCGCCTGGTCCCTTTCTTCAAGCGGACTTGTCAGCAACCGGTTTCGCAGGATCACTTTCATCTCTTCCAAGTTGCGAATAAACTTGGCTGCAGCTGGCGAGATATGATGCAGTTCATTGTGGACGGCTGTTATCGCAGACGAATATTTGGTGAAAGCTCGCAGAATATTCTTACAAGAGTTACTTAGCTGCTCAGCGACAATTGACAAATTCCTCATCAACATTTCAGTGGCCGTCTTGTATTCTTCATCATCTTCCTCTTTTTCTTCGCACTTTTCACCTTCGCTATCCTCAACCTGTTCCTCTTCTGCTTCCTGTCCCTCGCCAACTGGCGACGTACAAGTCCCTTCAGAAATCGAAGTGTGAACACTACTACTGACTCTTTCAGGAAGTTCAATCTCCGGCTTGGGTGACGAAGCATCTTCTTTGTAATTATCATCATCAATCGGAACATCTTTGGCATCTTCTTGTTGAGCTTCGGGTTGAGTTGACTCGCAGTTGTCATCGCATAATGTCTCTTCTTGACTCCCTTCACTAAACTTACGTTGTCTCTTCTCGTGCCGTCTGACTATTTCTCGTTTTATTTCCAGATAGCATTTTTGAATGTCGATATGCTGTTTAAAAAGTGTTAAAAGCTCCGCATTAAAATGCGGTTCGAACTGAGCTATATTCTCTGTAATATAAGGAATCATACTCACTAATTTGGCCCGATTAATGGTATCAACAAATACGTTCATTATCCTTTGGGCTTCTATCGACGTCAGTTTCTTTTTCGTCGGCTCCAAAGCCCGCGTAGGGTCCATACGCATTCTGTTTTTGGAAGGTTTTGCTTCTCCTCTCATGATTCCTTTCTCGCTCGACTCGCCTTCAGCAAGACCCCTGTAAAGCGCTCGTTCATGCTTTACTCGGCTCCCAACTCGAGTCATTTCAGTACTGACGGTAGACATAATTTTTGTGCAAGCGTTAACAAATGAAAACAGTTGTTTTTAAGGTAAAATGTCCGTAATAGGAAAACAACAAACCGATTGTATCCTTGTCACCCATAGCAACGAAAACCTTGAGTTATCTCCCCTCGATCAACACGCATAAACTTATTTTTTGTTGACTTAAAAACGGGTCATTATTTAAAAATTCACCCAGAAAATCAGATTTTCTTCTGAAAAGAGAGTATTGTTATGACGCATCCAGAATTTAGAATAATAGTTCCTTGGCCTCATTCCATGTCTAACGTTAATTGTAATTAAATAATTTTTGATTTCTATTTTAGCTACAAATAAGAAGATGAAAAAAAATATATGTCACAATGTTTCATTATAAAATATAAATTAAATTTGTATCGTAAAGTTAAAAACAAGTCTAAAAATAAAATAATAATTAAGAATAACGCTCTTGAAAAAGACAAAAAACTAAACTGATTATTCAACTTATTTTCAGTTTATATAGCGATAAAAAACAGAAGATAATGTAGACACGGACAATTTTGAAAAGTAATTTTGAAACACTTTGCAAAATATATTGTTTGACGTTTTAATTTTCGTTTTAAAAATAAAAAAAACTAACATAAATTTAATCATAAAACAACTAAAAAACAAAAAACTTTTCGGTTTTTAAACTGATTTTAAATCAGCCACGGACTTGCTAAAAAAAAACTAAAAACAAAAAAACAAAAAACAAAAAAACAAAAAAAAAACCAAAAAAACATACGAAAAATGTATTTTAAATAATTAAATTATTTTGATACCTATTTGATATCATAAAATATCTAATTGCACCAAATGTGTTTTTTTAAAAAAATTATTCTGAATTTAAGAATTTTAAATTATATCTTCTGATAGGCAAAAGTAGTCAAAGGCAGTAATTTAGAATTATTTCGTTTTTGAACATCTATACTAAAAATAATCTAACAGTTGCTAAAATAAAAATAAAATTCTTTTAAAAAAGGTTCACACTCGAAAATGACATTTAAACTTTACATTTTTTTTTTTTATTTTTCATCATATCTTTAATAAAAAAAAACAATCTTTTAACAGCAACGGGATGGATTTAGTTTCAAAATCGTACTGAAAAGTTACAAGTTATTTTAAAAAGTAAATATTATTAAGTGTAGTTTTTTCTGGCTATTAAGAAAAAATATAAATAAAGTTTAGTGTTTTATTAAATTAGGCAAACACGAATTGTCAGAAAATATATTTTTGAGCTTTATTTTATTTATTTTTGGTAAGATTCGGGAAGAATTTTCTGTATGTTCGCACTTGATAAATAAACCTTCTTACCCCGATTCTATTGGCAAGGGGAAAAAAGAGCATTAATTCAAATAATGCCTTAAAATTCTCTTCAAAATTGGAATAAAATTATAATTAGCTTAAAAAAACCCTTGGGGTTTTTGGGGAGCAGTGCTTAATTTACATATGGGTTAGTACAGGTTGAAGCCCAGGAACCCCAAGATTAGAGTGACCCCAATGGGCCACTGATAAAACTAAATAAAACGATATAAAAACAGAGGGGATTTGTTTATTTTGGACTAATTTGCAACATTTAGGGAGTATTTGAGTCTCTCTAGTCGGAGTGAATCTTTGAAATTCGATGAGGTTCTTTTGAAGGGATTCCATTTTGATGCATCTTTATACATATATAGATTTTTGATGTAGCTTTTTTTTTTTTTTTAGTTTTGTCTAGTTTGTATTATCTCCATGATTTAGAATTACTAGCTTGGTTATTTGAAGTTGATAATTTTGACAAATGTAATTCAATTATTTTCAGCTATGGTGAATCTCAGATAGCAGGTTAGAATTATTATTATCATCATCATCATCATCATCATCATCATCATCATCATTCTTCTTCTTCTTCTTCTTCTTCTTCTTCTTCTTTATTTGTTTATTTTTTTTTTAGGATGCTTTGCTAGTGATTTTGAATCCTAGAATTTCAGTGTAAAACTAGGCCGCCCTTCATTCTAGATACATTTCTTTAGGATGTAAGGTTCGGATAAAAAATATCGTGAATTTTTTAATGAATTAAATTGGTTGAGTTCCAAAATCATTAAAACTTTTAGTTGAAGTATTTCAGGTTTTACACACACATACACAAAAAAAAAAAAACAAAAAAAACATTTAAATCTTTCTTTCTTTTTTTTTTTTTTATAGACACATAATAAAGGGAGCTCCAAATTCTATTATCCTAGTGGCCTCTTAAAGTCTAAATTCGGCCCTGGTGGGGGAGGCATCGAACTTGAATGTTCAACTAGGTTTTTTATTTTTAATTATTATTATTATTTTATTTCCTTTGCTTTCTGCTGTATACTCATTCCTTTCTGGATCCCAACCAGAGACCTAAGGTTAGAAATGGCAACATGACATTTTTCACTAAGCAATTTTGAAAAAAATCACACATATTTTATATATATAAAGAAGCCCTCAAGGACACATGGCACAGCGGATAAAGGCATTAGTTAGATCCAGTGACAGGACCCAAAGAGTGTGAGTTCAATACCCGGTTAAGTGGTGAACTTGGGGAGGGGAATTAACAGGAGATAACTGATAACTGACATCCATTAAACATAGAACTAGAACAGTCTACCCCAGTGAGCGAAATAAAGGGTTCAGTTCAACATTCCAACCACCTGAAGAAGTCCGGAGCGTACAACGGCCGAAAAGTTGTAATAAATATGTCGACAAAGATGAGGACAATAGTCCGAATAATGAAAATAATGTACATAATACCTCATCTCAGAAATATAGAGAGATAAAGAAGCCCTTCGTAAGGTGTGGACTGTATTTGTGAGCACAATTTTTTTTGTATTTCTTTTAGGCATGGGCTACCAGAAATCCCATTGAGTCTCTTGGAATCTTTTCCAATCAATCCGACTGCTCCAACTACAATTGTAATTGTTAATATCCCAATGCGTCACATTTTTGAGATTTCGATTTCAAGGTCCTTGTATTTTGACAGCTTTTTGAAGATCTTCAAAGATACATTGCAGCCTGCAGGGACTGCCATATCAATAAGGAGGCACGTTTTGTCTTTGCGGTCTCTAATCATGATATATATATATATGTAAAACAAAGCATAATATTTTTTCTAAATAAATCCAGATTACAACCAAAAACGTTTGCGGCACCTCTCTTCTCTTCTTTTTAATATACATACTTTTCTCTCGTTGGAACCACTACAACATATTTCTTTTATATATATATATATATACACATATATATATATATATATATATATATATATATATATATATATATATTTATATATATATATATATATATATATATATATATATATATATATATATATATATATATATATATATATATATATATATATTTTTTTTCTAATTGTCTTTATTAATTAATTAATTATTATTATTATTATTGTTAATTTAGTAGGATATAGTCAATCACAGGTTTCACAAATGTATTTTCTTTCTTATTTAGGAATTGCCACACAATCTTGGGAAATTAAAAAAAATTAATCGGAATTACCCTGAGGAAGGCCGTAATGCCACTAAAACACAAGGGGGTTACAGGATGGGGAAGAATTCGAAACAGAAACAATAATGATGAGCGGGAAGAAAAGAAAGTAACAGGAGGAGAGCAGATAGTGATTGACATTGCATTTAAATTTATGCAAATTAAATTTGGCTGTAAAGAATGGAGCCAGAAGGGAGTTCCACAAGCGAGAAGTGCGAGAAAAGAAACTAATTTACGGCTAAATCTGTTCCAGCTCACCTGTAACTTGTAATTGATGACATAATCGAGTGGTTTCCTGTCATCTCTTTCATGGTTTAGAATTCAGAATTTTCCTTCTCTTAGACTGGTTGCCAAACATGTTTGGAAAGCCTAATCTTCATGGATAAAAAAAATAGATTCATGCCTTTTCAAAGGGTATTGGTGCAAGAATGTGTGCAACAGACTAAGCTGGGATTCGAACTTTGTTTGTCAATTCCACTTGATATGCACTATCCACACATCTTAAGATTAATATAGTGTTTGAATGTTTCTTTCAAACATCACTCTACTTTATTGCTAGTGAAAATGGTTGCCACATTTGGTCTGGTGCATCTGCTATGCATCTTGAGATTCTGGACAAAATCCAAAGAAGAATCTGCAATGTTATCGGTCTTGATCTGTCATCTCGGCTTTAATCTTTTTCCCATTACTGCAATGTAGCTTCCCTCTGCCTTTTCTATAAATATTTTCATGGCAATTGTTCTGATGAGCTTTTTTTCCCTTTTCTCTAGTACCTCGACTCGATGAATTTAAGCGCAGTTTTAGATTGGTAGTTAGGTCAGCTCATTTTGCTGTTAGAATTGCCAAATGTAACCGTAAGTTCTATGCTAATAGTTTCTTGTTTTAAATGTAGTGTCAATCGTCACCTTCTGTCTCTATAAATCCAATTCTTTTATTATCCTTTCTACTCAATTACTTTTTCTCGCTTTTCTTTACTCTATTGTCTTTCACCGTCACTAACCTCTTGCACCATAGTGACTTTAGTGCCTTGCTTGTGGTGACGTGATAAAAAAAAAAAAAAAAAATAAATAAATAAAATAAATCAAAAATTGCCATGAATTGTGAAGGGAGTGTAGTAGTTTTCTGTTTCCATTTCCATGGTTTGAAGATCGGAATTTTCCTTCTCTGATGTTGATTGCCACTAAAGGCTAGAGAGCCTAGTTTGCTATGCTATTCAGCCCACAGCGAGAGTGGAAAGATGGTTTCATGCCTTTACCAAAGGCACTTGTATGTATGAGAGTTAAACTAACAAAGGACTTTGTGAACGCGTATTACAAGTCAAGGGAGGTAACTAA